TGATTTCAAAGAGCTTTTCAAATAAAAATTGAAATTAAATGAAATAAAGGGCATAAAAACTGAGTGATCATCTCATCTATAATATACTGTTGAGATCAAAGGCAAACCGCGTTTTAAATTTACATTAAATTCACACTAACTTCACACCAGAGTATTGGGAATTCATTTGAAATTCAACTCATTTTGTAATACATTTGAAATTTTATAGACAATGTGTTTACAGCCACCCGAGCCATACATATGACAATAAATTACAAAATATTTTTAAACTTCAACAAGATTTAAAATTTTATTGTATTTTAAATTAGATCCAAAATATATTTTATTTTAAGCGTTTTATTTTTAGATCTCAATTATTGGTTTTCATATATAATAAACTCATTGCATATTAGCGTAGCTTTTATTTTGATTTGCATTTCAGTTATTTTTTCTCTAAATTAAAAGCAGATGTAAATGAGTTTCAACGATAGCTTAGAAATATAGTGTGAAATTGTTTTATGTATTATATATATGACAAAAGTCTGTTTTTGTCATAAAAGTAGACCAAAACTGTGAAAGTGTGAGACAGATAGTGTCGGTGCAAATGCGGAACTCCGCTCTTGTAAGTCGAGTGAAGGGATGTCTCCATTTGATGGTGTGATGATGTGATGCTAAGACATCAAGTCATGAAAGTTGTGTCAGCCGTGTGTCACAGCAAACAGTTCTCTATCTTTAACACAAACCAAGCAAATACTGATTGTTGAGTAAAAAAACGGCTGCAATTCAAATGTTGGATCAGATATACATGTGATGAGAGACTGGAATGTGAAGACAATGAACGGTATGAACAGTCAACTCAAAACAAATGTCATATTAAACATCTTATGAGAGGAGAAGGCGTCAAATACCAGTATTAGTGCCATATTTACATGTAATCACTTCCAGACTTTATTAAGACAAACAATAGTTAAGATTTTTCAAGAATTTCTCAGTTTTCTTACTTACAGTATATCTTATATTGGAGTTCATGTTTAGACATTTCATATTACAGTATATATAAAGTCAGTCAAAATGCTAACTTTGTTTAAAAGTCATTTATAAAAAAAAAACATAATATATGCCCTTAACTTATATGATACTACTTTAAATTGACACTAATAATAATAATAACAACAATGTATCTAAATATAATTAATTTTTATTTTAGCATATAGGGTATATTATACTATTAATATATTTTTCAGTAAGTTTTATGTTTGATGAAAATAATGATAGAATGTTTTTAATTTTTAATTATATTTAATTTATGATAACAAATATTTATCAATATATTTTCTTAACAAATATATTTACTGTAATAAGTTTATAATAAGCAATATAAACTTTATATCGAGAATAACACAATATTGTAATTATATGAAAATTGTAGTTATATTTAAAAAATCAATATTGCCTTAAATAATAATACAAAATATATAATTTGTCATTTGTACATTTGTATTGATAATTAATGTAATTATTTATTGTATAATAAAACGTAAAATATTGGAAAGTTATATATTTAATTAAAATTTGTCTGTAAGTATATTGTGTGACTTTTTGGTATAATGAATGAATAATGTTTAGTCAAAAATAAGATTAGTGATGTATAATAATGTTGCCATTATATAATGTTGAGGTACAGGTAGTAGTAGTAGTAGTAGTAGTAAATTTTGTAGTACTGATAGTAATGTAAGTGAAGCAGTTTTGATGAATTTTTATAACTATTATTAAGGCGTTTTACGATTTGGAGACCAAACACAACACAAACACTTGTATATTGATATTAACGACTTTTCTGAGCGCATATTCCTCTCCAATATATATATATATGACTTTCAATGAGTTATCTACTCATAAGTTGCTTAACAGCAAAGAAAATAAAAAAACGATTCACTAGAACTGACATCTATTCAAATGATGGACTAAAGGGTGTGTGGAGGAGGACAGGGTGTGTGGGGGTGTGTGGGGGCGGACTATAATGTTTTGTCATTAAAATATTTCTTTAAATACAATATTTCTGCCACTTTTCAAACAATTATTATTTAGACGCCAATTGACTCTAAGTAAAAATAATAATAATTTCATATAAACGTCACATTTATTAAATGATTTTTTGAATGCATCATTTTTGTTACAATTTTATGCATCAAAAATTTACTTTCAATTTAATTTTCAATTGAATGCTAAGAATTTACATTATGATTATGATTATGTTGTGTGAAAATTAATTTAAATTATATACAAAATTCACAGGTAATACAATTTTGTGTCTATATTTGCTTTTATGCTATTTTAATGTTCAATAACATTGACATCACAAACATCATTGACGCGGATCCGTCTCATTGTTGCTAATAATTAGTGCAAAACTATATAATAATTTGATTATATTGTATATGTAATGTATGCACAATATTTTTGATAGTTTTGTTTATATAATCAATTTATGTCTTAAACAAATTTTTAAACAAACAAAATTTATATAACTTTATTTACACATATACTATATTCAGTATATTACTGTATATATATATATAATACAGGTTATAAATGTCAATACTTTAATAATGTTTAAGTACATTATTTTTTTAAAATCTCTAAATCAATAAATTGTTTTTAAATATATTTATCCAGTATATGATAATATAAATTATATATTCTTTGTGATAAAAATAGTTAACAAAACAAATGACATACAAAATGAAAGCTATGATATGATATGAAATGTTATAATATGTGTGTTATTTAAGTTTTATGTTTACCTCAATAGATGTTATTGAGTCAGTAATGGTATATAAAAGTTGATTTTGACTGCAAATGTCTCGCAATTGGTCATACAATTGGCTATATATTACTCTATATAATCTATATATCGTATTATATTGTATTATATTGTATTATTTGGTAGTAATTGAATGGCACATTCAATAGTGTACTGTATTATTAGGGTATAATGTGTTGAAACAATTGAACGAATTCACAGGCAATGGATTGGCGACCAAATGTCTATTGTCTGCCGCATCTAATGATCAAAAAGCAAATTATATGACTGCTCTCTCTCTCTTTCTCTCTCTCTCTCTCTCTCTCTCTCTCTCTCTCTCTCTGTATTTTTAAATATACTGACAAAAATAAAACCTATACTATTGTAGATGTTATGTATATATGAATTATAAATAAAAAAAATTGTATTGAATTGTATTGTGTGCCACAATATCTGTATATTTCACTAAACATATATCATATTCTTTGTCTGTATTATATGTTTGCCATTGGTTTGCATAAAAAGTGCAACATTTCTATATAAATATATTTGAAATGTACACAAAATGAACACATAATCAGCAGAAAAATCTGCAAAATGATGGACGAAATTGAACTAAACTATGCGCTAAACATAAAATGTCGTCGACGTTGCCGCTGATGATTGGATTGCATGCAAACAATAGTAGGTATCCGGGAGGTAGTTGTCTTAATGCCCGTTCCCTTTAGTTTTCCTCTTTCTGCTTAAATACAAGCTAAGCATAGCATAACACCGTAACACAGGTACTACAGACCCGGCTTATTAAACGTGTCATTAGTTTTAAGATATAGTCAGGAGTACTGTATATCTAAAAAATAATGTTTCCTTATGTATGGCATTGTTTTAATAAATGACATTTTTTTGCATTTGAATATTCAATTGTATATCAAATACAAATTATGTTCTCAAAATTTTATTGTTCATTAATCAAAAAATATATATTTTACCAGATTTTTAGTCAATATTATTGAAAAGTTGTAGATATAGTTATTTTTAATTTTAAACTTATTATTTTTGTAATTAAATAAATATATATAAATATATATTTATTTATATATAAATATTTATGTTTTTTATGATCAAACTATTAATGTTTATATTTTGAAGAATTAATTTTAAAAATTTTACTCATGAATTCACAATTCAATTAAAAGCAATGTTTGAATTTATTTTGATTATTATTTTATTAAAAATTCTATTTCTTTTGGTAAAAATTTTTGTTACTATAATAATAAATATGATTTTAGCGTAATTTAAAATTTTTGTTTAAAAAATAAAGTAACTTCTACTCTACTATAATATATTATAATTTATAAATATTAATAAATGTGTTACACTGAAAAAATAATTTTATAAAAATTCATTTTAAACTCAATATACACTCAATTTTGTTGATAAAAATGGACACAAATTGTTTTTTAGGTTTTATCTAATTTTAAGCAACATTTCAAGGATTTTATTTTTGTTTAATTTTCAACTCTATATTTTAATATACACTAATATTTTATACATAATATTATACTCTAAACTTTATATATATACTGTATATATAAATTATATATAATGTTAAGAAGTAAATTTATAAATCACTTTTAAATATAATACTTTATATAAATATTTAAAGTAATTTTATAATACTTTAAATATATTAATTTTTTGTTTTTGTTATCTAATGTTTTTTAATAGTAATTACTTAATTATTTTTACTTACCTTTAAATAGTTATTAAATATTTATTTTCACTTAATTTACATAAAGTTGATAAATAATCTAAAATCTTATTAATTGAAATATAGATTAAATAAGTACACACTTGAAATAATATTTTATATAATTTATTAATATTTGAATAAAGCAAAATATGTACAAATAGACCCTTAACAGCAAACAAATGATAACACAATTATTTGTTTGTTTGGCCACAATAATAAAACGCGACACATATTGTATTATATTAATTATATAATTATTGTGAAAAAGGACATTATTTACAATTTTATTTATTTTTAAAAAATCATTAAATTAAACATATTATGCAAACAAACATTTAATACAATAATTTCACATTTGACCAAAAAAATGATCTAAAAATGAATTTACAATTAATGTTTTTAAAATAAAAGATATAAATTTTTAAAATATACTTATAATAATAATAATATGTTTTGAGTATTTGCATGATTTCAATGATTTCATGAGTTTTTAGATGAGTTAAAATTAATTCGATCTAATGTTTTGATGACTTTAAGTCCATAGTTTGGCAACTCTATGTAGAAAATAAATGATAATTATTAGTAATCATTTAACTAATTATAAATCACATAATTTAATGAAACACTATAATATTTTTTTAATTACTAAATTGCTTAAAACAAGTTGAAATAATTTTTTGCTAAACTATTTTGATGATAAAATTTTATACAGTACTATCATAATTGATTTCTAATATTATTTAGTTAATCTAATTTTTTACTATTTAAAAAATCTATTGAAATCATGTAGTGATAGATAACTATGAAAAGTCATACTTAGTGTCGTGTTGTTGAGCGTTGTCGTGACCAGTCATGTGCTGGTTGTGGTTAGTCTGCGGCGGACCCAATGGTTGAGTGTTACCCTGCGGTCCATTGCTATTAGAGTTGACAGAAGGTTCGCTTTGACTGTTTTCAGAGTCACTACTACTACCTTTTTTACCGTCGGGTGCGTTGCCATTATGAGTCTTGACGTGTTTGCTTAGATGGTCTGATCTCATGAATCTTTTGTTACATACGGGACAAGCAAATCGTTTCTCTCCCGTATGAGTTCTTAGATGTCGTTGAAGTTCATCAGAACGTGTAAATCGTTTGCCACAAAAAAGCCAATTGCAAACAAAAGGTCGTTCCCCAGTATGCCAGCGAAGATGTGCTTTCAGATGGGATGTTTTGCCATATACTTTACCACAACCAGGTATATGACAACTGTGAATATTTTTCTTGCGAAGATGTGCACCGGCGGGACCTAATCGTTCCGCTTCTTGACAGTTGGGACAGTCACATGTGGCGCGACCCGTATAGCGGCGTTGCGATCGAGGAGATGGCACCTGAGGAAGAGCTGGTTGCGAAAGACCAAATGGTGAGGCGCCCACACTTTGTGCTGATGGCAACATTTTGTATGTGTCCTGTAGTAAGTGCTGTCCTGAAGACAACAAATGTGCTGGAGTTGTGGCCGCTGCTAATGACGATCCGAGTCCATAATCAGCAGAACCCGCGTAATTGGTTTGAAGTTGAGAGTGAAGAGCTGGTGTAGCACCAGACATGTCATGAAGCCAATTACCGGCTACGGCAGCACTGGCGGCCTGTGCGTGCACATCCCACCACGTGCTTGAGTTAAGTGTATTCACTGATGTGACTTCTGGTTTGATAGTTGGATGACCAGAATTCATATTGAATGGCCAGTTCTCATATGGATGAGCACTGACACCAACTCTTGGATACATTGAGCCCAAATGAGTTGACTCGCTATGCATTTTTCCCAAGAAGGCTGTTTGTCCACTTTCGGCACATGACGTAACAGCAGTTCCAGGATAGAAAAGGTTGTCACTTGAATATGAGGTGTTGCCACAGTTGGTGGTGACGGCAACCGGGCGCTGGTGTGTATAACTCGTCAGACTGGTTGTCGTAGTATTATTAGCTATTGTAGGAACTCTTTGAGGTAGAGTCGATGCCGGCGTCGTCGAGTTCGGTGGTGAACCAGAAGTACCTAAAGCGCCACCAGAACTACCCTTTTTCCAGGGATGAAACCCTTTGCCTACAGCGGCATCAGCCAGAGGTGGGGGTGTCTTACTGGCCAATTTGTTACACTGTGCTGTTAACATTGCCAATGGGTTGCCTCCAAGTCGCGGGTGTTCCTAATAATACATCAAACAAACCAAACTCTAGAATTAGCCAAATGTCCGCAAATTGCACTTTTGGTCATTACTTTCACTAAAATATCATAGCTTTTCTATTAGTACTACAAATTATTTCTATTTATATATATTATGTGTTTATTGTTTATAAATATACTGACAAAGAATATTTGTATGACAAACAAATGGTGAAATCAAGTATTTAATGTTATTTATAATCAAAATAATAATGTATTGTACACATGGTGTCAATGCTAACTTCATATTTAAAATAAGCTCCGACTGTATCTTTTAGAAGACTAAAGTAATAACAATTTTTGTATAATATTGATAAAACTCAAATATGTTACAAATGTATTGTATATCATATACTATAAGTACAGTATATATATACTGTATATTCAATAAATGAATCATAAAGTAGAATCATAAGTCATATATAATACAATGTTTTAGTTTGGGAGGAGATCACCAACTGTTTGTTGCACTCAATCTATGTTTCTATAGTTTTATATTATGTTATATTTTATATATTAGCCAACAGTACCTGAAATACCACACCCCAAATGAGATCAAGTTTTCGGGTGGAGTGCCGCCACTCAATAAAACATATATTGTGACAATTATGCTATACTTTTACACATATTTTCTATTTTTATTATATTTCACAAATTCTAGTGAAATAATGTCTTTTACTTTTCTTATGGAAATCTATTTTATTATCTTTTTTGCATAATTTCATCATTAGTTTCACTTATGGCATAAATGAATGTAAAGTAAATAAATTTTCATAATAATTGATATAATTTCATGAATATAGTTTATACAGTATATTATATACATTTTGTATTTGTATATAAATTTAACAAAAACTATTTTAATGCTTATAAAGAAAGTGAAATCAAAATTAGATATTTCTTTAATTAATGTTTTTAATTACTTTATTTTGAATTCATTTTTTATGAATCGCTTATGGATTACCTACTATTTTAAAATCTACTATTTTAAAATCTACTATTTTAAAAATAACATTTATATGAATAAATATTTCTTAATTAACCACTGCTTTATTGTATGTAATAATTGTGACTCTCTTTAGAAAATTTGCTTCATTTTTGAAAAGTTAAACAATAATTTTAAACAAGTGAATCAATTAGTAATTTAATTTTTTAAATATCAAAATATAGATAATATCAATTGATAAAATAAATAAAATTAATTTCTCAAATATTTGTTTAGATGTTTACACTGTAAATATAATATAGTATAAATGTAAACATACATTTGTACAGTACAGTATAAATTACACAAATTGTATAATATAGTACAGTGTATTTATTATACAATATGATATGTTATAAATTACAAAAATTAAAATATAGTATAATATATAATTATAAAATATTACGTTATTAGAAATAAATAAAACCTTGTAGTGAATTTAGTATAACAAAAAATTAATATAAAAAACATTTTCAATTAATTAAATTGTATTATATTTAGTAAATTTAGTGGTAATGTTAAACTTGTAAATATAGAAATAATTAACTCATAGTTTGAGTGAATTTTCAGAGCCTTAGGGATCAGAGTTGCTAAACATTATATTATATATCAAATATTTAACTATTTGTATAAAAAAATAGGGAATCACTTCATGTGAGGTCTGTTCGTGTTTTAAAATTTAAGAGATATTTGTATGAAAGTCTGTATTTATAAATATATTAAAAGTGAAATGTTTTTAAAATGTTACAAAAATAATAACAATAAAAAAAATTGATAATGAAATCTGAATGAAAAGCAAATTGAAATATATATATATATATATATTATGGAAAATATGAAATGATGTGTAAAAGCGCTGAAATTAGATACAGAAGCGAATAGAGTAGAGCAGTACAGCAGTACATCCCCGTCCATCCCATCATATGGATGGTCACAACGACAACACCCATAACCGCCTTCTTTACTTTGAACGCCAAAAAGAGATCAATGGATTCAAAAGACGAGGGCCTAACTGTGCTATGCATGACATGTATGGCTTTGTTGTCAATTGTTATAGTATTGCATAGCATATCATACTAAGTAAATCTGCATTTTGATCATTGCTTTCACTACTTTAAGTGTTGACTTCATCCTACTTCACATCTAAGATCTTAACCACTGATAGCTAACATGTCTAGCATTTTCACCATTGGGTGTCACTTAAAGTCATTCATCCAAATTTACGGCAAATGTTTAACCAATACTTGTATTATTGACTTAAACGACGGGTCAGAGGATTATCAGATTTATCACCACAAGAAAGGATAGTTTGAAACGCTTTCACTTTTACACCTATTGTTTCTCTGCCTTTAGGCCAAAGTCAAGCCCTATTGACGAGCTTAGCATAACTGCAAACATTGTAAGCATATATTCAATACTACAGTACCACTAAATTGATACCAATCACCAGCTATTGATAATAGGCATACATTTTTACAATAATTGTCATCAATATTTATCAGATTTTGCTCCTTATAATATTGTCAATGATAGTAATACTAATCATACAGTAATAAATATATAAGTTATATCAATATAACTCAAACAATTTATTTTTGATTATCACTGATAAATGTTTAGATTAAAAATTAAATTACGAAATAGTAAATATTAATATTAATATATAAGTCGACTTTATATTAATCTATAACAAAGTCACTGACAAATAATAAGTTTAAGAGTATGAATGCTATGAAAGTGGGATATAATAGAGTGATGTTTGGTTTACTATAATATAAGTCAAAAAAAAGTGAATCCAATTATTTGGAGTTAACCCGTAAGCCATATAAGCCATCTGTCAATATGAAGGTCACTAACAATATTTTGAGAGCTCATCTATCAGTGCTTAACATTAGTTCTTAGTTTCAAACTTTTAAACTGATTGAAGACACGGTTTGCAGTGAATCGGTGCCATATAGTGATCATCTCCTACTACAAAGAGCTCATATATTACATTGTTTGGACGTCCAGTTCCCAAATGGACGGGCGTTACTCAAACATTTGTCCAAAAATTACTTGACTATATTCGCTGAACACATCTATCATTATCTTGATTACCATTAATTCTATGGTTCGTATATATATATATATATATATATATATATATATATATATATATATATATATTAGAAATAACAAATTATCTATTATTCACAAAAATTAATTGTTTGCGTCAGAAATAAAAACAAGTTTTGACATAAAATATAAAATTCAATGCAAAATAGTGGCAAAAAAGTCGTAAAAATTTAGTAAATCATTTGAATGGCTTTACAATGTATAGCAATGAATTGTCAATAGATTTGTATACTTGGCATTCATTGCACAATATAGTGGTTGCTATGAATTGTGGACTACATTTGGCATTAAGTATAGTACAGGTGATAGAAGTGATTCAATGATCATTGATTGCCTCCTTAGGGCCAAACATATGTACGACAACACCGCACATCCAAAAGCATCAAAACGGCTAAACACCTCATCTATTGAAATGTGTTGCCTCTGCAGGACTGGCATTGAGGGACAAACCAATAAAGAGTACAACACTATGAATGACTGTAAATAGTGAAAGACTGAGAGATTTTGATGCAAACACTGCAAACAGTGCACCAAATCTGTACTTTTCTCTCGTTTTTCAGTCTTATAGACTAATGGTTTGTGTAGTGCTATAAATGTGCTAACAGTGAGAACATGTATTGTCTATTCAATGATTTCTTTTTATCCTTTTTAGCTCTTTAGCCGGCTATGGCTTAGCCGTAGTTTAAGCATTTGTAAGCATACGCCGTCCCCTGCAGTGAGTGCAGTGATTGTCCCGTTTTCGGCTTTGGACACTACTGTACACTATACTATGCTATACTACACTACAATCTAACCAAACCATTGCACAGCAGTTGTTCTCTACCATAACCAACACTAACACTCACTGAATAACAACAGGAAAGTCTTGCCTAAACTTTCTTGTATTCTCTCATATAATCACATAAAGTGAGTATATATGCATACATACTGTACAGCAATACATTGTGTATGACTCGCATAAAGCTATGTATTGGTACTGTAGTTGAAAAGGGAGGCAAAGAAGCCGTCTTTAGGCTCGGCTGCGAACAAAACCATCATTTGCTATGATATACACTCATCTATGTATACATCATATGAAAAGCAAGCATTTTTCACACACACGTCAAGCCTATTGCCAGCACTGGTATTCTTCGAAGTCGGAATCCCCTCAATACTGGTCTCCCATTTCCTAAACCTTTTCACTGACTTTAGTATTGATGTTAAGCATTAAACATTAAACGTGTTACCAATGGCTATAGGTTTAAGATTTGTCTTTAACATCAATTGTTAGTTTGTTTCATAAATAACCAAATACTATGTGACTACCCCTCGATCACCAAAAATGACCACTACTTACTACCAGTGCTTACAATAGTTACAGACCTTAAATGTCTTGTATACACAACTATTTCACTGTTAAATCGTGTGAATGTGTTGTCAATGAATTCCATAAAATGGTCAATACATCCAAACAATATATATACAAAGTATATACACCTTATATGCAAATTGTTTACACGACTGACCCCTTATTTCTTGAAATTTTCAATATAAAGCTTATGATAAAAAATTCACATCAATTGCTATTTTAATTCCTGAGTTAAACATTTGAGGCAACCGTTGAGTCAATGATAAATTATTCATATTTAATAGTAAAGTGTATTAAAACATATAATGGTGTAAAAAATGGCACATTTCTAGTAAATGTTGATAATTGAAGAAAAATCATGTTTGACGGCAACATATGAGCAGCTGTTGTGATGTTCACACTGTTATGAGTTGGCCTTAAACTTCATAATTCTAGTATTCACTCATTGCTTATAATCGTAAAGTATTTTAGACAACATATCGTTAAGACATTTGAAAACATTTACTAATATAGTTAGCATTGGAGGACAGTGTAGAGCAATGTAAGGCTTGTTGGTCTCAGGATGGATGGGATGCCTGAGCCCCGGACTGTAGGGAATCACTCGACTGTGACGACAGGCCTCTCTGTGAGCGACCACAAGCCCTCTATTTCTAGTGAAAGAGTCATTTCATGTGTACATCACTTACATTAAACATGAATTCACATCATTGTAATACATGTTAACTCATGTGACACACAATTAATAAATTATTAATAAATTATCAAATTATCAAACAATTCTTCATTATCTATTAATAGTCGACGTGTAATGCATTTAATCTGTATTAATATCAATATATAGTACCATAACATAAAGCAATGCATTTTATGTTCAATAAAAACTTTGAACGATATAACCAAAAGAGAGTCAAACCATCAAACCATTTGGTTTTGAATTACATCTCTTTTAACACAATCGTCTCATATCTGATTACAATTTGGTTATGAAGTGCCAAATTGCCGGCAAATACTTTGTTTGCAATTCAGATTATAGTAAAGCCATAGTAAAGCTTATAGTGATTCAAACAACTGTATGTCACTACCGACACGTCCTTATAACAGGGCTTTTGAGAAGCCGTTTGTAATTTGACTAAAAGGATGTTTTGACAAACGCTAAGGTAGTGATGAAATCATTACTTCTTTAAGGATAATATTTCTTTTGAACACCACTTCTCACAGCACCCGATACTCTCAACAAACATACACCTAATAAACTGTTATTATTAGTTAATACATATAACTTAATGTATCTACTATTTTGTTTATTGCATTTGTTTAGTTCATTAGTTAAAATTATTTAATTTTTAATTGAAAAGAAAAACAAACAAAATAATAATAATAATCATTAAATGATTAAATTAAATATTAAATTGAAATCTATTAAATAAGAAGTACTTCTAATTTATTTAGTATTTAGCGACACTTTCCTATTATTTATTTATTTACAACTTCTTTACAGACGTCTTAAGGCGAAAGTATAGCTTAAATAAGTCAAAAGTCATTCACTATATTAGTAGTGATCATAAAATCATAAAAATTATAATTTAATGATAATCAAAACCCGCTTCTAAAACGGTTTGCAATTTTAATGTGAACACGACTTTAATAATATAATAAGTCCAGTCCTAAAACTACCTGAGCGTTACCCAAATCAATAACCAAAAGTCATCTTTAATCATCAATTATAAAGTTTCGATAAATCTTACAAAACTATTTTAAATAAATTTGTTAACTTTCAATTTTAAATTACTTCAATATTAACATACAGTACTGTATATTACTATAAATTTATATATATATATACTGTATATATGTGTGTGTTTGTGTAATTTATGTAATGTAATGTCTGTTAATTTATAATTCATGAGTTTAACATAAAAAACTAATATTTAAATTTTTATTAAATTATAATAATATTTATATATTTTATCAAACATATTAGTAAATTTTTAAAGCAAAAAAAAATAAGTAAAATTATATAATTCTATGCTAAGTATACTATTATTTAATAAACTTGCAAATTTAATAAAAACAATTTTATAATAATAATATATTTATATTTTGTCAACATTTAATAATAATTAATAATATTAAATTATAGAATATATATAATTCTATAGACATGAAAATCATTAATATAAAATTATATATAATATTAAATAAAAATTAATTATACTGTAATATTTATTTTTTCTAAGTACACCTACAAAATAAATTTATATTTCTCGCATTTACATTAATTTAGTTTTAATTATAGTAATTTAATGCATATTATTTAATAATAAATATATAGCAATACAGTGTTAATATATAAATCAAATAACAAAAAAAGATACTATGTAAAACATAAGATTAATATTTTTGTAATAAATAATGAAAAATTAATTGAAAACAAGTAGATGTTTATTATAATTGCATAATTGTATTGAAAATTTATGATTAATTAAAAAATAGTTTCTAATTGAGTCACTAGTTATTTAACTCATTAAAAATAAAGTAATTTTAATTCAATTATAAATAATAAAAATTTAAAAAATAGTATTTGCTTTAAGAAAGGATAAAATGAATATTTGTTAATAAATGATTGAATTGTTTATCCGATATTAAAATAAATTTATGTAATTATATGATATAAATAATTGTTTAGCAATGATATAACACCCACTTTATGAGCAATGAGCTGATAATGATAGTATATAATGGAAATAAGCAAGGTGGATTGATATAATGGTAATATTGATGATAATGGTGCTTACCATTTGAACGATAGCACTGGTCATACTGGCCATTCCGGTCAGGTTGGTGTCGTCGCCCGGGAAGGACGGCTCCGAAATACAGAGATGGAGGTCAATGTTGAGATGATAGTCGAGATTGAAATACAGTTATCGGACCCGAAGTTGTTATCAAACAAAACTTAGATATCAAAAGCTGATCGTCAGCCCTGAAAACATTGTAAACACTGTAAAACAGTGATCGGCAGTCAACGCGTGGCCAACACTACCCAACACTTGAAACAACACACACTACGACTCATACGATATATTGAGGGATCAGTCCATCCCTTTTACAATTGATGCCACAACACAAACGTCAGGTTCTGCCCAAAACCAGCCCTAAAACGCCCCAAACATCCCATTGCAATGCATGCGTGTCTCACTATCACAGCTAACACAATAGGGGACAAACACATCCATGAAGTAAACCTAAACACCCAATACTCCAACTATTTATACATACATTCAACAAAACTTTATTATACAGTATTATACTGTCTATGAATCTATGATATGTATATAACATTCACTTTTTTGCTCACTTTATATAGCTTTCAAAGCATATCATAATTTCTTGTTTTTTATATATATATTCACTAAATCAAAATCAAGGACATCTCTCTCTCTCTCTCTCTCTCTCTCTCTCTCTTTCTTTCTTTCTCATTCACATATTATTCAGTATTATTAACTCAATAAATTAAAATTTTTGGTTTATTGACAATTAACTAATTTTTAACTTAAAAAATTACTTTTTGTAAATCAATAAATAGATAATAATTGTTTTTTTTGTGGTAATATTAAGTATTGATAAAAATGAAGAGTAGAGAATATATAGTAATGTAAGCAAATGTGGACTAAACTTATTATTGTTGTTGTTGTGGTAGTTGTATGGCATGTATGACAGCATTACAAAGTTAGACCTGTTTTTGACAGGACTCAAGTAGATGAGCCAAATTGGAGTAGCTTTCTAATAGAGTTACCAAATATATTATATAAATTCTAGATTTTTAGTTTTCAATACATAATATAATTACTTTCATATATAATTCATAGTGTACTTAGATCTTACTAAATAAACCAAATTGTAAATTAATATTTTATATTTGCATATAAATTGCACATAAATTAATTATACAATAAATAAATAAATAATATGATAACATTATAATTTATTTAATAACAATAGAAAAATTATTATAACAAAAATAATTGCGAGTCGTCTCCGAAATACTTGATTAAAAGTGTTGGATTGTTTTTGTTAAGATATGGTAATCCTACTGAACACTAGTTTCAACTAACTTTTTACTGACTTATACAGACTTTATGAATGCCGCACATGAATAGCACGAGACATAGAGGAAAGGTATAAGACTGGAAATGAGTGGCAAATGACTGGTGTATGGATCAGCAAAATGCCATTTACTTCAATTATGACGAACACAACCACAGATTTAATTGACAGCAAAATTTAAATTCTCTTTTGTGGTGTCGACCACTTCTCTCTCTCTCTCTCTCTCTCTCTCTCTCTCTCTCTCTCTCTCTCTCTCTCTCTCTCTCTCTCTCTCTCTCTCTCTCTCTCTCTCTCTATCCCTACCAGTCCTTACAGACTGTGTTACATACAGTCCCATACAGTGCCTTACAGTGCAATCTCTCTATCTCTCCCTCTTTCCATATGTTTTGTTCATTTAATGTTTATTAAGACGACTATCACGAAAACACAACAGTTTGTTTGGCACGCAATCAAAAAATATGGAGAGAAATGTAAAATCGAAAAAATTATATTATATTATATAATGATTATAATGATTGTATTGCAAGTGTCATGTCTTGCATTTGTTGTACACCCGATGTTATATCAACAATAATAACACATAACTAACACATAGACCACACGCTTCTGTTATTTGCCTTATAAAGTAATTTATATTTGATTCACTAATTTTCAGTTTACTAAACATATAGACATACAGTTCATTCAAAACATATTATTCAATGGTTAGCAAAAAGCAAACAAAGTTATTATACAAAATATTTCACTTATATTACAAGCAATTCAATATAAATTTCAATACATTGCACGCGTGAATAGTATTTGATGTTATGATTTTCAATAGTTTAAGATTGACAGTTAAAAAATATGTTCAAATTCATAATGGATTGAATCATAAAGTGATAATCAAACTTATTATATAATTTTCTAAATAATTAATAAATGGTTCAATCGGTTTGTCTAAAATTAAGTGCCTTTCAATAAAAATTTCATTAACGATACAATCTGTTCACGAGACTAATCATCAAATCTTTTCAATAAACAAATTCATATAAATAATCGATAATTTATGCATTGATAATAATAATAGAAATTAAGTTTAAATATTATGTCAAATACAGTAAATTAGTATATTTATAATTTAAAAGCTTATAAGTTATAAATAAAGATTTATAATCATTATTTTTTATGCTTATAATTGGATGTAATAACATTTTTATATTTTTTATATCAATGCATATAAACAAACATAATATTGAGGTAAAAAATAAAATTAAAAAATATGATTATATATATATAATTGCATTAATCGGGTTTTGTAAATAATCTAATTATGTCTATAAAAAGTGGCCGCAGTTATCAAATTATAAGCATTATTTTATAAGTACTCATAAGATTATATGAGTTATACAAATAAGGTTTAGTGTAAAGCACGCAATCATTGATGGTTTGACCGTTAATGCAGACAAGTGTTGATAAAAGGGATGTATATGTCTGGCAAGTCTTCATCAAAGAGAGAGAGAGAGAGAGAGAGAGAGAGAGAGAGAAAGAAAGAGAGAGAGAGAGAAAAAAAACAACAGACAACTCTTGTGATTATCTGCTGAGAGACTATTATTGGCACGAAAGCACAGCACCGGCACCACAACACACGCAATAAATAATACAATATAAATACTGTAGTAATATAATAAATATATTATATATATACAGTATATATAGTATACTGTATATATAAATATTTTTTTATAAGTTATATAAAAATTGTCAGCAAATATCTGAAATTTTAGCAAAACACACGATTTGGTTATTTACAAGTGAAACATCCGAAATATCGGTTAGTGTCAGACATTTAACACATACCGGTGCAATTGCACAAGTATTAAATTTTTATTTTTATATATTTATACCTGTAGTTTGATGTTTGGCCCAAAACAATGTTTGTGTTGAAATTTTGCAACGTTTGAATTGACAGACAGGTAGACATATTAAGGCATGATTTTGTGACATTAATGTCAGTTTTGCCATCAAAATACACTATATTTATGGCTCTTTATCTTCTGTACACTCTTTCTATATAATTATATAGATATAAATCTCGACTACAATTAAAGTCCTAAACCACTAAACATTTGCTTTTTTGGTTATTTCAAAATATCAATTCAACTTTCGATTACTATTTTACTATTACAATTCACTATAAATACAGTATATAATAGAGTTAGTATTGCTAGAGATAACTGCTATTTAAACAAAAATAAAAAATTATTTTTGTTAAAAATCCTTTATGTGTTTTCTTATATAGTTATTGTTATAGTTATAGCATTAGTTGAGTATTTCAATTCATTTATTTGTTTTTTGAGTCAAACTATTGAATAGGTATAATATTTAGCTGTAATACTAGAGAAAACGTTTGTTTAGTAAATGATTTAATATTTAGGAGGAAAGTAATATTGGAGAACAATCAATACACTGACAGTAGAAAATTGATGGCACAAAACACCATCATATAAGGTGTGGCCTTTGGACTATTTATACAATACATAAATATACTAATATATGTTTAAACTTAAAAAGTTTTAGCTTTACTTTACTATAATTTTTCGGTATTCTCTTTATATGGGAATCTAAGGGTTTGAGAGCCGAAGAGATGTTGTATAGTTAGGGGTGGGTTGAAGATTGGAGCCGTGAGCTACAAACTGGTCAATGATTGAGTTTGTTTAACTATTAACACCGCTAAAATCGTGCACATTATAGCCCGGAGCCATAGAAAATAATTAAAATTGTTGGCGTCCTCTTAAATGGTTTTTATAAATTGTTTAAGTGATATATTATTTTTTTCTTATATAAATCGCTTATCAAATGTTAATGTTTTTTATAATTTTTAGAAACTTTAGATAATAATTATATGCAATGTTATATTACTTTATTTATATCAATACATTCATACTGTACAAAAATATACTGTATTTGATCAATAGAGTCAAAGTTATTGATATAAAAAGCATTATATTTTGCAACATTATATTGTGGTTTTTATTGATCACTGGATGAATGCAAATGCAGGCAATTGATTAAAGTGGTGGTCTTGTAATGCATTTGATGTACATTTTATTGAAGACAAGCTTAACAATGGATAGCAACGAGAAAAGCAGTGAATGTGCCGTTAAATTGTCGCTAATTTGTCAGATTCACAGTCGAGACCACGCTTTCAAACGGAACCAATCAGTCGTTGTATGGTTTTTACATTTGCAGCAAACATTGCAATCGACAGTATTTATACAAAATATGCTATCAATTGAAAATCATATGAAATGTCAACTCAAATCAATGCGACCCCCCATTGATGCCATTCAAATGATATCAGACACGAGTTAAATGTCCGGATGGAGAGCATTGAGAGCAATGACAGTCCTATTTAATATAGTTTTATTCATATATATGCTTCAAATTTTCAATACATTCATTCAAATACATTCACTATGGACTTGATTTTAGCAATTCATGAAAAATTAGTATTTTACAACATTTTTAACAATATTATAGTTTTTGGATTTAATTAATCATTGAATTAATGCAAACTTTAAGTATTATTAAACATAATAAGTAATAAAATAATATAAGTTAACTAAACAATAAAAAACATATAGATTATTTTATTTTATGGTTATTAAAATATACTATTAGTTGACTTAAGAGTTATACATTTAATAAATAATAATTATATAGTGAATGACTCTAATTATGCTTATAATAGATGGGTCTCTTATATAATAATGTTAAAAAAAAGAGTAAAACTAATGAAAGATAATTAGGGAAACTCCTCCTTTTCGATGTACTTTCGATCACTTTATCACTATTTGGTTCAAACACCACATCTCTGTCCATAAAATTCATTTGTGAAGAGCATTGCCGTTGCGATCGTCTATAACAGAGACTGACTGCTTATGTCTGTAATATTGACTGATATCCAACTGTGAGCGCAACGCATATAATAAAACAATTTGATTAATATTTTGTAACTTTTATTTATATTAAAATATAAGTAAAGGTGGAGAGAGGAGGGAATATTTGGTACTTAAAATCTATTAAACTAATGTT